ATATTATCGATAACGGCAAGATTTAAAATATTTGGATTTAGGTTTAAGTCGAGGAGCCTTGAACGAGGATCTATATCTGACATACGTTTTGTTTGAATACTTGTTTCATAGTTTCTAACGTATGCCACAACCCGAACCACGTGAAGAATTTTATACAACGATCCTATCATTTTTGGTCGTTGGCAAAGAGAAGAAAGCACGTGGGTAAACCATATTTTCCAACTAGGGAAGGCAATGAAAAGTAGTACCGAAGAGAAAAAAAGAGTATGTATTTTAATTTTCTCTTCATCCAGTTGTGGTAGTGACAAGCCTCGTTCTTTTTGTTTTCTGGCTAACACTTTATTTTTATTTTCTATTAGAACTGAAACGAGATCTGAAAAAAAGTTTAGAAAAGATGATGGCATAGCATCATGATATTCTTCTAGAGATTTTGGCTCTTCAAGTGAAGGTAATCTCTGCTTGAGTTCTGATCGTTCTTGTAATAGAGAATAAGCAAGCATTTTTCCAAATCATTATACGCAGTGGGTTTTAGTAGTGTTGCTTGCATTATTTCACTTATTTCAATTTTTTTTATAGCAAATGCTGTTTTAATTAAAAAAAGGCTAGAAGCTATAGAATTCGAATAAATGGTAGAGAGCATAATAACGGTATTCTGTAACTCAGAGGTATTGGTAGCAATATTATCAAACAACTTGACAAGCTCGTTTAATAGGTTAACCTTCACAGAACCATTATTTGATTCAGCAACCTGTTCAATCCATTTGCCAAATACCTTTAAGGTGAGTGTAGTATCTGTATCATGTTCTCCTCGATCTGTGCATGGAATTGTTTTTTTATTGATTCATGGTCCTGGCGAACATGCAAATAGCCTCCATGTGTTACGAAACAATCCGTGCAAACAAATCGAGGTCTTTCATTTTCTAATGAATTGGTCGCTAATCCTTTATATTCAGTAATTGCCAGACAGTTATATAATCCACGGCATGGAACTTGGATCCTATGTCCACAAACTGTTCGGGTATGTAGTGTACATGTTTCGCCTCTTGTAAAAAAGTACTTTATTTTATTGCAAAAAAGACAGCGACGTGATGCAATCGTACTTTCTACTGTTAACAGTTGTTCCCTTACGCCTGGATGTAATTTTTTTATATCATAGTTGAGATGCCGCATACAAATACCTAATTCTGAAATCTCATTCACGTCTTTTACAGCTTGAGAGTCAACCTCCCACATGCCCGCTAGTTGAATTATACTTCGAACCCCCACATGATTGCACCTTTTAATTATTGTTGAGCTATTATTACAATTTTCATTATCAATAACAACACAATTTGTAAATCTTGTAGTATGATCTACATCAAAAGGAAGTGGCGTGTCAAGTTCCTCCTCATGTATTTCCATTTCATTATCGTCGCTCTCAAGTAATTCGTTATTCTCAACCAATTCATCTTCCATTTCTTCAGTGGATTTAGTTATTTCTTTGATGCTTTCATATGAATGCCAATCAAACGTGAAAGCACCATCATCCACTACCATTTGTTCGATATCAAAATTGGATTCTACGCTAAAATCGGATTGAATTTCCTTTTCAAGATTGAGCGAAGCTTTATATAAGGATTCCATTCCTTTTTTTTTGTTAAGTATTTGAATAAAAATCTTTATTATTTTTTTTTTTTAAACTGTGTGCAGTAATTGAGGTCAAGACGATTTTGTAGTTTGCGAAGTTAAATATGCCACTATTTATATTTTTCGCACTTGTTATAATAGATTGGCCGATTGAAATAATTAGTCCGTTATAGTGAATCTTGACTTAAACCTTTTTTTAATTCTGTAGTTTATTTTTATCAATTCAACCGAAATGAATTCATTATAGTAAATCTTGGCTTAAAACCTTTTTCAATTCCATAGTTTTATATTTTTAATTCGAAATCGAAATTAGTCTATCCATTATAGTGAATCTTGACTTAAAGGCTTTTTTAATTCTGTAGTTCTATTTTTTCCAATTCGAAATCGAAACTTCTAGATCTTCGAAATTCGTAAGATCTTCACTGAAACCTGAAAATCCTCTGAAACCTGAAAATCTTTTGAAACCCGAAACCTCTTAAGTGGCACCAGAGTTAGAACCGCTAAAGTTGTTTAATCTTTTAACCCTCTAGCCTCGCAATACGAAGAATTTTTATATATTTTAAATTGTTATTTATACTTGTTATAATTGGCGATTATATCAATTTAGATATTTTATTTAACAGTTTGTAATTTTTAATGAATTTAATAAATTAATAAATTTATATTATACTTTTATTTATTTAATAATATTCAATTACAATTTTTTTTTTTATTTAAAAAATAAAAAATAAAAAAATAGAAAAATAAAAACTATTTTTCGATTTGCAATTTAACCTGTCTCGCTATACAAATGATCTAATTGTTTAAATAACACTAATTCGGTTTGTTTTCACGTCGGCATAAAACAAATAATGCAAGTAAATAATGCTTATAATCCTAAAATCGATGTAAAATAACTTGAACAATAAATATTATTATTATAGTTAGACCTATAAATTAAAATCACTAAAAGTATCCTTCTGATTCAAGATTATTCTTACTAAATACCAAGATCCAGAGAAATCACCTGGTGTTCTTGCGAAGTGCATTGTCTAATCTTTTTGTTCTTCTGACCCAGGTTTATTATTTCAACTAAGACCTAGAGAAGTCAACGTTCTTGCAAGGTGAATCGGTTAAGACTTTTTTTCCTCGGATTTAAATTTATTACTCCAACCAAGATCCAAAAAGATCAACGTGGTATTCTTATAAAGTGCATCGGCTAACGCTTTTTGCTCTTCCTGATCAAAGTTTATTATTCCAGAACGTCTGTGTAATATTCTTGCAAAGTGCATCACCTAATGCTTTTCGTCCTTCTGATCCAAAATTAATATTATTCCAACTAAGATCCAGAGGAGTCAACGTAGTATTTAATTTTTCACTCTTCTGATCCAAATTCATTATTCTAAGATTCAGAAAGGTCAACGTGGTATTCTTAAAAAGTGCATCGGCTAATGCTTTTTGCTTTTCCTGATCAAAGTTTATTATTCCAGAACCTCAACGTAATATTTTTGCAAAGTGCATCAATTAATGCTCTTGCGTCCTTCTGGTCCAAAAAAATTACTATTATTCCAACTAAGATCCAGAGAAGTCAACGTAGTATTTTTCTTCTGATCCAAATTCACTATTCTAAGGTTCAGAGAGGTCAACGCGGTGTTCTTACAAAGTGCATCGGCTAATGCATTGTTTTTTCTCTTATCCAAGCTTATTATTCCAGAACGTCAACGTAATACTTTTGCAAAATGCATCACTAATGCTCTTCGTCCTTCTGATCCGAAAAATTGTTATTATTCCAACTAAGATCCAGAGAAGTCAACGTAGTATTTTAGTTTTTCATTCTTCTGATCCAAATTCATTCTAAGGTTCAAAAAGGTCAACGCGGTGTTCTTGCAAAGTTTATGGGTTAATGCTTTTTCTAATCTTGACCTAAAAATAAGCTGTTAACGGTTTTGTAAGTTTATATGATTAAGTGGTTTTAAATCTTAGTGCAGAAGTTTACCGTTTTGTTCGTTCTTTGTAGTAGAAATTTTTATGAGAAATCAAAGATCTTAGTTACTTATTACTATGAATTATGAAACAAAAGGGCATCTTCGAAGACAAGATTCTGTTTGAGTTTATTATTTTTCTGACTTTTAACATAAGAATAATGAAGTATTTGTCTTGCCGAATCATTTTACGTTGTACAAAATGCTGTTTCCCTTTTAGGAACCCCTGAAAACGGCGATTGAAAATGACCTACCGTTGCAATTTACTATGAAAATTGGGAGTTTCATATGAGTGTCGATCACTCAAATTTCATAGTAAAAAATTTATTCACCTGATCTGCGTGACATCTGGATCGACTGATATAGAATATATATTTGTTATACGTACATACAGTGTGTGAAAATGTTTATCATAATTATAATACGTATAAAATAATAGAGATTTTAAATATAGTAGACAAAGTACGTAAAATACTATCACTACGTATACTGTGCGTATACTGTACGTATCCTGTACATATATTCAAAATAAACACACCACTCACTTTATTAAAATTAGTAAAATATATAATATCGTTTTTTTTTTTTTTTTTTTTTTTTTAAACTTTATAAACATAACTATACAAATTTTAATATATTTGATAGCTCCATATTAAAAAATTCAAAGTTCGTAACTTGCCCCAAAAAATAAAATATAAACACGCATTTTCCAACTAAAATTTACAAGAACCCAATAACTTTTTTTTTTAAAAAAAAAACTATTAATAAGAATGATAAAAAAAAAAATAATGTTCAATTTTTTTTTTCATTTAAAAATAACTTTTTTTTCTAATACATAAAGGTCTAATTCAACGTAAGTCACGTGCATCAAATGTGTATTAGACTAGGATGCCAAAAAAAAGGCAGAGCTCAACTTAAAATTTTGCAATAAATGAATGATACTTGTACAAGAAAAATGCGGATTGCAAAAAAAATACTGAACCAAAAATATAGGGCTAAGGAAATTTGTATGTAGACATATGTAACTCTGTAAACAAGAGAAAAAAAAAAAAAATGCTACCCCAAATTTAAATGCATACTTTTTGATTTATAAAAAAAAAATTTTTTTTTAAATGATTTTTCATTTGAACAAATTGTTCTAATTATAAAGCCAAAAGAAAAGAAAAAATAAATGAAAAAAAAAGAAAATTTGAACAAAAAAGAGATAATGAATTGACTAAACTGTATAAATAATAAAAGTATAAATAAATATGACACAATTCCCCGAAAAATGTCTTTGAAAGGAACTAACCCTCAGCCTAATTGCTAAATATATTCTTAAATCTAATTACCTCTTTTGTCCAACATAAAACTCATAAAAAAATAAAAAATCGTAAACCATTGTTTTTTTTTGTTTCCCTTAATAATATTTATTTACTTTCTGATTTTCGAAGATTTTGTTGCAGATTTCTTTAATTTGTCTTTACTACTACCACCAGATGTTGTAACCTTACTCTTGCCAGGAGCTTTAGAAGCTACAGATGATTTTGAACCAGTTTCAGTAATCTTTTTTAGAGCATGTTTTTTACCGCTAAGTGTAGAACTTTCTGTTGAAGGTGCATCAGCCTTATTAGTAGGCTTTCTACGATTCTTTGGACATCCATTAGCATTCAATAAATGCGATTTCCAACCTTCTTCGGTTGCTGGTTTAATTACTGTTTTACAAAGTGGACATCGAACAATGTCATCTCTGATAGCCAAGCAAGTTTGTTTATTAATGTGTGCTAAGTAATCATCAGCATCAACAACTTCACGACATGTGGGACATTGTTTAACAAATTTGTTTTTATCACAATCAGTTAACATGTGATCATCAAGTGTCGAAATTTCAAGGATCTACAAGATATGCAATAAATATTTATTTTATTTTAAATGCACAAGTATTATTTCAATAAAAGTAATTCACTTACTATATTACATAACCGGCATTTAGTCAATACCGGGCATTCATTCCAATAATGAGTCACTAAATTTTCTTCTGTGAAATTTTCGTTGTACTCATCACAAAAGATACAGAATCTATTTAATAATAAAGAATACAATAAAAAAAAAAAATTATTACTTATTATTATCTTATGATTAATTGATCTTATTACTTTATTGATTAATTGATAAAAGTTTACCTATCGCCTTTTGATTCAGAGGGGACATTTTCTTCAGGTTCTTCACGTAAAGTTGCATCAGTTGATTTAGAAGAGTTTTTCCTTAAGACCTTTTTATCTTCAGTTGTCTCACGTCGAGATGGACTACTTTTAGAGTTAGGAGTACTTTTTAAAGTTTTTTTTGGTGTTACAGTCTCACTTTTTGATTTCTTTGTACTTTGTTTTCCAGGAACAGATGACGTTTTATTTACTGTTCTTGTAGGACCTTTTGTAAGTGATTTACTTTTTGGTGGAATTTCAGGGACACTTTCTACAGTTTCTACATTTTGAGTATTTTTACGTAATAATTCTTCTTCAGCTTCTAATTCTTCTAATTCTCTTAACTCTTGTTCGGTTAACTCTTGTATCTCTTCAGGTTCTTGAACTTTTTTGGATGCGTTTGCAATATATGTACTATAATCTTCCTTAATCAAATTATTTGCATTATTAAACCTTGATTTTAATTCCATTAATTCTTGTTCAAGTCGTGTTACAGTTCCACGTTTAGCTCGTGGAGTTTTTAATAACTCTTCATTAACTTCTAAATCTTCAATATCTTGCTTTTCTTTCTCTATAATGGTAGTAGCAGCAACCTTAGGAGATGGTGGAGGTGATGGAACTTGGCCTGCTATTCTTCCAGTAGTTTCTTCATATTCAGTAACTAAATTCCAAATATTCTCCAAAAGTATAGGTTTTATATCACTAATGAAAGGTTCAACCTTTTCTCGACCAACGCGTTTAACAAC